CCTTTTTAGGTTTCCCTGATGAGACCTGGACAATGTGGCTGTGTTGTGTGCTCTTAAGGACAGACCATCCTTGCTTGGGCTGGTGGCTGTGCCTAGAGGAAGTAGGCACTGAACAGCTCCATGGATCAATGGCCTTATGTCTTTTTTTTTTTTTTCGTTTTTTTTTTTACCGGTACCGGGGATCGAACTCACGACTGCCTGCTTGCAAGGCAGGTGCTTATGCCGCTGAGCTAAATCCCCAGCCCCAATGGCCTTATGTCTTGCAGATCCTACTGGCTTTTCCTGTGGTTGAGATCAAGAGCCTGGCAAGGTTTGTGCAGAGGTAAGGAAATCTGTGACTCACATTCAAATCAGCACCCCCAGGTGAAGAAGGCCTGAGATAGTTAAAAGCCCAGTAGCTAAGAAATCAGTCACAAGCAGGCATGGTGGCACATGCCTACAATCCCAGTGCCTGGAAGACTGAGGCAGAAGGATCATCACAATTTTGAGGCCAGCCTGGGCTGTATCTTGAGACCCTGTCTCAAAACAAAACGAGAGAGAAAGAGAGAGAGAGAGAGAGAGAGACAGAGAGAGACAGAGAGACAGAGAGAGAGGCAGAGAGAGACAGAGACAGAGAGACAGAGACAGAGAGAGACAGAGAGACAGAGAGAGAGATCAGTGACAACCATGAATATTTACTATCATGGTATAAGAATCAAGCAATATAGGGTAGAGCATTCTCCTGCATGGAGGTTTCTTGGGGGTTCTATTTGTTAACATGTCAGTTCATTCAGCAAGGAGATGCTAGGGAGCCATTTTTATGCCTAACCTGAAGCAGAACGAGGGGATGAACAGATGGGACATGAGCTTTGTCACCATCACAGAGTTGGCTGGCTTCCTTTCCCATTAGCATTTTATTTCCTGGCACATAGCAGTAGCAGCAGGAAGCTTGTAGCATGAACACGGGGCTGACTTGGTTGGGTGACAGGGACCTCCGGGATTCATGTCCATGGGTCCCATGGGGTCCTGGCCAAGCTGTGAGGCTGGCAGGCCACTGGGGAAGAATGGAGGGTCCCTTCTTGGCTGCATGTCTGCTCTAAACCTGTGCTTCAGAGAGCCATGACCTCTTTCCAGCTGAGGCCACAAATGCTACAGAGTTAAACTGTCTACCCTAAATCACTTAGAGGGGTGGGGGGTAGAGCAGACTTACACTCCACAAAGTTGTGCTCTCACAGTTCTGCTTCCCCTAGACTTCCAAGGATGGTTCAGCCCCTCCAGAGGCTATTGGTGAAATTTCTGGTATGCTTCAACAATGGATAGAGTCTTCCTTCCAGATTAATTGTTCCTTTCCTGAAACATAGAAGAGAGAAGTGGTGACAATGTCTGTGGCTGCCTTGGGATCTCTAACTATAGCAGATGCCCAGAGAGGAGCCGGGTGGCTGCCAAAAACCAGCCCATGTATCAATTCCCTGTTGATGCCCTCAGGTTGAACTTGGTCAAGCTGGAGCAGAGTTACTTGCCAACCCCTGAAACCGAGGATTAGTCATTTTTCTGTCACTTTTCTGTTGCTGTAACAAAATACCTGAGCCTGGGTGTACTGTATAAAAAGATGTTTATTTAACTCACATGTTGGATTGCATGGTGCTGGCATCTACTCAGCTTTAGTAAGGGCCTTCTCACCATACCACAATGGGGGTAGCATCATGGTGGAATCTGTGCAAGAGGGAGTGAGCCCATGGTGAGAGAGGAAGCAAGAGAAATGTAGGGAGGGTGCCTGGATCCTTTGAAACAATCTGTTCACAGGACTCCCTGTAACAGCAAGAACACACTTTCTTGACAAAGCATTAATCCTCTAAAACCATTACTTACCTCCTACTAGGCTCGTCCCTGAAAGGTTCTGCCATCCTTGAACATTCCAGCATTGGGGTGCCAAGCATCCAGCATGTGGGCCTTTATGGGGCACACGCACACCAGATGCACTCCATAGCAGATCCATGTGTCCGGTCGCCATCTCTTGGTAAAGTGCACATGGCTCAGCCTTGGCTTGTCTTCCCTGGGAGAGACCTGGAAACAGATATTGTAGCACATGCCCTTTGTCTGGGAGGTGTCCCAGAAAGCATGGCGGCTTGGGGTGGGGTGAGGTAGATGCAGTATTAGGTGCACTATTACTGTGGCTACTGGGGAGCTGTAGGGTCCAAAGGTGGTTGTCCTGACAGCCACTGCCAGGTGCCACCACTGGGGCTCCCTGCTGCTGAATGACCTCCTAAGAGTTCAAGGTTGTTCCAGGGAGCTGCAGGGTCACGGTATGTACTAAGGGCATGCGGGCAGCACCTAGCATCTGGCGTGACACCATCACAGCTTCTGTTCTGGCTCGAGGAATTGCCTGGGTCTTGTTCCCCCTTTCACTAACTGTAGGAGAAATGTGGACATTCACCTATGACAGTGTCCCTTCATAGGCTGGCTCAGGATTGCTTCAGAAATAAAAAAAACCAAGCCCCCTGCTGCTCATACACCACCGTGGGTGTAGTTGGACTTCCTGGGATGTGTTCTGACTCTGATATGTGGCCATTTCCTTTGGCCTGTCTTCGTTTTCTCCTTTCTGTCTCTCTTCCTCCCCTTGGTCTTCAGAAGCTAATAAGGAAATCCTGTTTCCTGGCTTCCTGCCTTCCTGTTGTTAGCCCGGAGACCTCTGGAGGGCAGTTTGGCAGAAGCAAAGCCTGTGTGAGGCCAGGGAGGAGGCTGCAGGCCTGAGAGAGGTGGCTGGGCTGCAGGCCTGATCTTGCAGTGTGTCTGCAAACCTCAGAACTCTTAAGAACCTCCTCAGAGCCCTTCCTGGACTACCTGGTTCTGCGGTTTCCCTGACTGGGTTTGGGTTGACTCAGAATCCCCAGCACAACACTGTTACTGTTTTAGTTTCTGTTTCTCCAGCTCTGCTGCTGTGGTTCCCTGGAGGTCTTAGGTTCTACTTTCCAGTTACCCTTTCTGATTTTGCCCACTACAGAGGCCATTCTGTAAGGGAGGGACGTGGAACACTATTGCTTCATTTGGCACTGACAGTCTAATGAGGTGTAAATGTCACGGAGGCCGCTCAGAGGGCACAGGGTGATTGATATCAAGGGGGCTGCCAGTCATCTGCAGTATCTCCCTGGCACAGCTGTCATCGTCCCCAGCAGACGGGCTTCACCGGAGTTTGCACTGGGGTGAGCGGTGCACACTCTTCTGAGTGGCCCCCCTGCTCCAAAGCCACCAGAAAGGTTGAAGGACACTCTCCCTGCCCAAGGACAGAGGGTGCACTCTTCCTGCAGGCCAGGAAGACAGCCTGGCTGACCTGTCACAGACGACGCCCCTGCCCTTTGTGGGGTGATGGCCACAAACAGCTCCTTCACCCACAAGGCTTCAATTTCTTCACTTGTAATATACAGGGACAGAAAGGCTACATTCTTCACGTGGTCAGAGGAGGTTAAACAATATTGGTACAGTGCTTAGAGACATACTTTACATGGCATTTGTTACATAAGTAAATTCTCTTATATTTTTTCCTGCGGACTCCAGAAAGGCTCTGGGGTGGGGGTAGGATAGGGGTAGGAATCTTCCAGGAAGGGGTGAGGAATGCAAGAGCCCTGTAAGGAAAAGGGTTCGTACCTGATTATTAAGTACTCTGGGCTGCAGGGAACTTTATTGTTTTGACAGTTATCTATAGAGCACCTACTATGTGCCATGTCCTGTACACATGGCTAATTGCTAGGCTTATTGCGGTTACCTAGTTGAGCTTACACGTGAGTGTTGGCTGTATACAAAGCCCAAGTGGGCAAATAAAATAATTTCAGTGTGATAAAGGCTGTGAAGAAAACGAGCAGAATGCAATGAAGGGAGGAACTGGGTGCAGGCAGTGTCAGGATAGGTTGTCAGGAAAGGAAACAGCCCGCCATGTGAGGCTGCAAGAGGAGACGTTTCCAGACAGGGAGCAGCAAGGGCAAAGGCCTGGCATGTATAGAAGCTTGAGGATTAGAAGAGCAGAAAGAAAACTATCACGGATGGAGCAGTAGGAGGAAAGGAGAGCAGAAAAAGTCGGTTTGGAGAAGTTAGAAGGAGCCAGATCATGTGGACCTTGTTTGGCATGGTAAAGTGTTTACTTTTCTTTGGGAACTTTACGTAGGCAAATAACATAGTCTTCTTTACCATTTAAAATGTTAGAAGCTTGATGCTTTTTTTTTTTTTAAAGGAAGAATTTATCAAAAGACACCAGAGTATTTCAAGGAAGCCACCGAAGGAAGCCAGGGCTGGACTTGAAACCAGCAGGGTGATGTCTCCATGCTCTGTGCTTTCTCTGTGCTCTGCTCTTCCCAGTCCATGTGCTGGAACATGACTGCTAAGTGCTTCTGGGGCTGAGGTCTTTGCTTTCTGCAGCCCTGCAGCTCTCCATTCTGACAGGCCTCAGAGGAGGACTTAGGGGCTGGCTTGTACCAGAGTCCATTCCTGGGTCAATCAGCAGCATCTGGCGTAGAAGAGAGTGCGCTTAACATCCTGACTGCTCCTGAGTAAGGAGGACGCCCTAAGTGGGGAGGAGTAGCTCCCAGAGAGCAGGGTGAGGGTGCAGGGCGGAGTAAACAAAGAAAACCAGACTAAACAATATACCTAGAAGGAATCTCAGTGTAGCTCTCAGCAATGCAGGTGGGCAGCTATGTCAAGGGGACCCGGCGTAATGTCGCCTTGTACAATGTGGCTTGTACAGATGAACCCTCGATTCTCAAGAGTCTTCAGCAAAGAGTGAAACCTCAAATGCCACCTTCAGGGCCACTGAGATGAGTGTGAGTCAGGCTGGAGAAGGGAAACATTAGGACAGATGGCAGCTGGTGAGCCCTTTCAGCTGGAAGGTATCAGCTAAGTGTCCCTTCTTACATGTAACCCCTTCCTAGAGGAACTGAAACTTACAGCTGATTAAGATGTAAATACTGATGATAAATTTAAGTCTTTTTAAAAGCTTTCCTAAGGGCCAAGGACAGTGTGGAGGAAGTCTGCCCACAGCCACAGGTGTGCTGTCCTCGGGACTGGCGTCCACGTAACCGCCGAGCCTGTGCTTCCTGGGGTGAGGAGGACTCAGCAAGGCTTTTGGCTGGAACTGGGCACCACGAGAGCCCCAGGAGCAGAGACTCGGTGTCCTGTGAAGCCTGGACCCACGAGTCTGCAGCCCTCCCTTTCTCGCCTCCTCACACTGTCTGCCGGGCTCTATTCAGTCCCTGGTGTCCTATGACAACCAAGACTGATCACTCAGCTCTTGGGGTGTTTATAGTCACTGACGGATCGAGATGGCCTCGGATGGCTCATGGCACATGGAGGCTGTGTCCAGGGCACTTGGGGAAGTCCCTGAGGGAAGTGACTTAAGATCGTGAGTACACAGAATGGAGTGAGAAGGCTTTGGATTCCAGGTAAAGGAAGCTGCTGTGGCCACCTTGGGTTGGGAAGTATGACCCTTGTCACAGGAAGGCAGATGAACAGATGGTGAGACTGGGATACAGGCAGGAGCCAACCTAGAGTTTTTTGAGCAGGTTGAAAACTTAGAACTGTTAAGAAAAATGATCAAAACTTAGACATATAACAGAAAGGAAGGAAGGCCATATGCTTTCAGTGTCATGTTAGGGCTGAGTGGGTCAGAGCCCTGGTGTGGCTGTACTGTGCCCCGTGGTGAGGAAGTAGCGTGTGCGTCAGTCCTCACATAGTCCGGTGCTATCCTGTAGAAATGCAAATGCCCCACTGTTAGGGCTCTATTGCCCTGAAAGACATTAGTTAGCTTTGTTTCTAACTTTAAAAACCAACAAATAGAGCTCCTTCCCATACACCCTCCCTGTGGGATGGTACATTCTGTCATTCAGTGCTTTTTGAACCAAATCTGTTATACCAATGGTCCCCTCATTAATGAGTTAAATAAATGTTTGACACATGTTTATTCTCTTAGTTTAAGAATCTCCTCTCAGTATGATTCTTTGACAGAACTCTCAGCTAAGTGTGATGAAAAGCTGAGGAGGGTTTTAAGCAGGCAACTGCCATAATTAAATTTGCCTGTGGATGTCAATGTTAATATTCTTCTGAGAAAATCAAGAGACCCAGGCTCCTATTTTTACCTTCAAATAGGAGGCTTTACCTCTTGGGGAAAATAACTGGTTTGGTTAAGGACCAATCTAGTGTTGTTATCATCAAGTGTAGGTTTATTATAAGGTCTTTCTACAAACATAGGGAACTCTAATCATCGCAGTGTCCATTTTGTTAAGATTTAACGCAGCAATGATAATTTATTATAATGGGATCTAAAGTAATGAACTCCACTTACAATTAAAATGTTTTAGAATGGTTTCTTTTCTCCTGGGCTTCCCCAGGAGGCCCAACTCTGACAAAAGTGGGATCGCTGTGCTATGGGGTACATTGCTCATCAGCTGTTTCAAGTGTCAGAGGTAGGCTCTCCCTTTAAAGTACTCGAAGGGGGGAGGGAGGTAAATGCTACCATCCATTTCTATAGATTATTGAGTATGAATTTAAATTCATCCATTTGGAGAAGTGTTGAAATTGCACGTGCTAATTAGAGAGTCAGAGAGACAGTGTTATGACTGTCGAGAGGAGTGCCCACTTGTCCTGGAGCTTTTGATAATCAGAGTGCTGGGGACCTGCTCCTTAGTTTAGATGTTAAGTGCGCCCCTAAAGGCCCGTGTATTAAAGAATTGAGCCCTTCTTGGTGCTGTTGGGGATGGTAGACCTTTGAAGACATGGAGCCTAGTGGGTGGTCTCTAAGCCGTTGGAGGCAGGCTCTGAAGGGTTCGTGGGACCCAGTCCCTGCCTATTCCTTCTATTTAAGTCGCATCCATGAAGTGAATGGCTTTTCTCCACCATGTGCTCCCTGCCATGATGTGCTGCTTCTCCACAGTTCCAAAAACAATGGGGCCAACCAGATTGCCCCGAGCCCTCCAAAACCAGTAGTTAAGGTAAAATTTTTCTCTTACAAGTCGATTTATGTCAGGTATTTGCTGCAGTAAAAAAGCAGACTGACATAGGTGCACACAGGGTAGCCCTGAGATTGAAAGTGGGTCTCAGGTACAAATGTCCACACTTGATGCAACCAAGGATGTTCCTATAATTTCATTTCATGATGAGCATTTCACACTCGCCATGCTGGCATAGTTCCTGTGATTTGCAAACACTCTTTGCTTCAGTTGTTATTTTCTTAGTGTTTATGTTCCTGTGAGATTGTTCACATTGATCTCATAGAAAGAGCATTTCTCCCCCTGCAGAATCATGGCTCAGCTTCAGTGAGTAATTCTGGTTTCTTCTTCCCCTTCCTGCCTGCCTCCTGTCCTCTGCTCCTAAGTGTGCTCCTGACAGTTCTTGCTCACATGGTCCCCGCTCAGTAAAGCCTCAATCGGCTTCCCTGCCTAACACTGCTATTGAAATGGGCCCTGAGGCCACCCTCAGCCACCCTGCTCTGTGTCTTCTCTTTCTCTTTAGCACTGTCTTCTAGCACACTACCTCATCTGCTTGTTTATTGCCTGTGTTATTTGCTGCTTGTCTTCCCCTAATCCTATGACACCACCAAAAAAAGGCAGACATTTACATCTCTCTTGTTTTCACATGCATTTCAAGTCCTTAGACCAGTGCCTAGAATACTTAATACGTATTTGCTGAGTGGGTAGATGAATGAATGAATGAATGACTATCTAGTATATGGCCATTTATAGTTTAATGAATCCCACAAGGAAAGTAAACCAGTGGTGCATACACGTCCCAGGCACTGTGCAAAGTGTTTGTACATACTGCTCCCTTTAATTCTTGTAACAGAACAACTATGATTACATCTTACAGGCCTGGGAAAGTGGAATAACTTGCCCAAGTCTACACAGCTAGTATTTTAAAAGTCAACGCTGCTGAGGCATAAATTTCATGTGATAAGATGCATCCATGCTGAACACGGTTTTGACAAATCGCTACACTTGCGGAACTCTCACTAAATGCATGACGTGTAGCCATCCCGTCACCCCCAACAATTATCTTCCTTTGTGCCACTGAGCAGTCTGTTCCTCCAGCTCCTTCCCCACTAGCCTCCTCTCTGTCCTCGTGTGCTTGTCTTTTCCAGAGCTGTATTCAGGAGTCATGCAGCACATGTGCTCATGGGAGAGGACTTTTCTCAGTGTGCACACTCTTTGGAGATCTTATTTTCTCATAAGGGCACAACTCCACCTTGATTAGGACCCTCCTGACCTTATTTAACCTTAATAACCTCTTTGGAGGCCTCATCTTCAAACACGGTCCCCGGGGCTTCAGGGCGTCAGCGAGTGGATTGAGGAGGGCACCTTCCATCCATAGCTAGTGCTGCGGCTCTGCAGCTCTGCTGCGGGCTGTGGGCTGAAGGCTCCTTTCCTGGCTGTCAAGTTGATCATGGTGAGAGCTGGCCAGATCAGGAAGGCAGGAGAGAGGAGGGAAGGAAGGAAACTGAGCGTTCAGATTGTATAATGGAGACACGAGCCCCTGCGGCTCTTATGCCCCTGTCACAGCAAGGACCTCTGCCTGTGGAGCAGCATCTCCCAGAATGGGCTGCAGAACAATGGACTTCAGAGCCAGTCTTGCTGGGTTTCAAGTTTGAGCCCACTAGTTACTAGCTGTGTGACCTCAGGCAAGTTACTGACCTTCTCTGTGCATCATTATCCCATCTAAATATAAACAATAATGCTATTAACTTTCTCAAGAGTTGCTACACAGATTAAGGGGGAAATACATATACATATATATCTGCAGTGTAAGAGATTATTATTAGTGCCTGGCACTTTGTAGGTGCTGTGTGTCAGCCCTTGCACCTGCAGTTGCAGTCTGTTTTCTGCTCTCAAGTGTGTATCTCTGAGGAGGGTCCCCCCCTCTTGTGTCTTTGACACTCAGTTTCAAGCACTGTGTCTGGAGGTTTCCAAAAACTGCTGAATTAAAAATAAGTACCAAAGGGGATCAGAGTGATTAAACAGCCAGAAAACAAGAATGTTCATTCACACATGCAACCATCAAATTAGTGATAATTAATTTATTAACAAATAATTTTAACAGCCTTATTAAAATATAATTTGCACAACACACAATTCATCCACTTAACATATACAGTTCCATGGTTTTGAGTGTATTCACAAACCTGTGACACTCTCATACATCACAGTCCATTTTGGAACATTTCCTCACTCTGAAAGGAAACACAATACTCATAGCAGCCATTCTCCTCCCAAGTCCCCCGGCCTGAGAATCCACCGATCTGCTCTTTGTCTCCACAGAGTTGTTCTAGACATTTCATGCAGTGGGATTGCACTACATATGGTCTGCTGTGAGTGGCTTCTTTCACTTAGCGTGGTGTTTTCAGGGGTAGCCCAGGCTGTAAAATGTACCGGTAGTATGCAAAGGATTATAAGCATCTGCTGAACATTGTGCAGTAAATCAGAGAGAAAACCTCCCATTAAAAACTTGAAGCACTGCATCGTGTGTTCACTGAGCCTCAACTTACACGTGACCCTGGTGTCCATTAGCTGTGAGTGGAAAGCAGGTGGACACACCCTCACTGCAGAGTGCGACTCGGACCTGAAAAGGAACAGGAGCTGTGCGACCACAGTGACTGTGGGCCGCACGTCAGTGTGCTAATTGCCAGCCACACACGAAGGGTGAAATCAGCTGTGTGATTCTGTTCCTAAGAAACTGCAGAAAAAAGCAAAACTAGTGACAGGAAGATTAGTGGTTGTGTGGAGCTGGGAGATGGGGCTGGGGTCAGCGCTGGGCTTTCGGGGTGAAGGCACCTGTTCGGTTTTTTTTTTTGTCTTTTTCCTTTTTATCGGTACCGGGGATTGAACTCATGACTGCCTGCTTGCAAGGCAGGCGCTTATGCCGCTGAGCTAAATCCCCAGCCCCACCTGTTCGTTTTAGAGTGCTGGGGAGGGAACCCAGGGATCCTGCTAGGCGAGCCTCACCCCTGCCTCTGCTCCGAGTCTTGTGTGCCGTGGTGACTACACCAATATACACAGTGACCAATAGCCATCAAACTTCACACTGAAAACGGGTGAATTTTATTATATTTCCATCAAGAAAAGACAACAAAAAAATGAAACCACAGTCGCTAAGCCTTATTAACTGCTACTGGAAAGAGCCATGTACAACTAAAGCTTGGCAGTCTTAGGCCTTTTCACTTGCACACCAGCCGGATTGGTGCTGTCTGCTGTTGACTGAATCGTGTTCTGCAAACTCGATTCCCTGGACACTGCTGTGATGGTATTTGGAGGTGGCCTTTGGGAAACGGGTAGTTAAGGCATGAGGGTGGGAGCCTTGGGGTGGGATCAGTGCTCTTTAAAAAAGGAAGAGACTGGCGCACTCTTGCTTTCTCTGCACACACCAGAGAGAGGTTACGTGCAGATGGGGAAGAGACAGCAGGCTGAGAGGCTGCACATCTGGAGCCCTGATCTGGAGGCCAAACCTGCAGAACTGTGAGAGACCTACATCATTCAAGTCCTCCAGACCATGGTGTTGTGTTGTGGTGCCACAAACAGGCTAAGACACTGTCATAACCCCAATACACAGAGATGGAAACTGAGGAATGATGAGGTGGCCCTTGTGTCAGGCATGTCTGGAATCAATCCAGACTTTTGATAATTACACTCTATTCAACCCACCCCCTTCCCTAGAAACTGCTCCTCTCAAAGGAGGAGGTAGTTTACTCCCAGCTCTGGTATAAAGCTCATAATTTGGTCCAAATTGATCAGCTCATCATGACCCCTGACCCTAATAATTGGTCAGGGCCTGGCAGGGATCCTGTTAGAACCGCTGAACCGTAACAGTTTCTGCAGAGACTGTAGAATGGAGCCACTTTCCTGATGGAAGGGGTCTGGGAGAATGTGGGGCAGGAGCAGCAGCAGCTGTGTTGCCACCATGAGGGGAAAACACATACAGAATGGAGCCTGTGGAAGCAGAGGTTCTCACACAGCTTGTGTGTGCTCCCTGACACTGTCTTTAGGCCACGGTTGATTCTACTGTGACTGCGCTTCTGGCCGTTTAGCTCCAGAGGGGAAGGAAGAAGGAGCAGTGTTGTATAAAAATGCAGCTTTGAGAAACTAGAGCACGGATGCTGGTTGGTGTCAGCTGTGTACACTGGAAACCTGACCCTTCCCCATGAGCTGTGTCTGTGGCCAAGTTTCCTGGTCCTGTGGAGTCTATGCTTCTTCCCATGTCAAGTGGAGATAACAGAGCATCTTCCCCCCATGGGTTGTCATGAAGCTTAGAAACATAAGGAAGAAAAAAAACCCAGCATAGCATCTGGGAAATGCTTAGAAACAGTAACTGAGCCAGCTGTGGTGGTATACACCTCTTATCTCAGCACTTGGGAGGCTGAGGCAGGAGGTTTGCTGCAAGTTTGAGGCCAACCTCATTTGCAGTGTGAATTCAAGGCCAACTTGAATTACATAGATGCCATCTCAAAAAAATAAAAATAAAGAACGGGACTTGCTGAAAATACTGTCTTTTTTCATTTTTCAAATTGTTATAATAGGTTTAGAAGAATCAGACTCCTCCAGGACCAAAAGTAGGGGCTGAAAGCTCTTGGCCAACCCCCATGTCCCATCCCCTCCAAAATGTTACCTCCTCCTGAAGCACTGTTCTTGGATCTGTTGTGCTCTGGAGAGGCTGAGTGATATCTACTCAACAAACTAGAGAAAAGCTGCTTGGCATCCTCCACAGAGCCTCCTCAGCCAGGAAGAGGGGAAGGGAGACCACCGGGGCAGGTCAGCACCTCCCAACATCAACAGGACTGTCCCTCTGCAGGGAACCCAGAGGAGCAGGCCCTGAGGCTCCCAGGGGCTCAGAGGAGGGAGGGCCTGTGGGGTTATGAGACTGCTTCTCCTGCAGGATCCCGGGACACTGGGCAGATGTGCCACAGTCCTCCTTAGCCACGAAAGATGCCACGGATAAGAGCACGCTGTGTAAAGAGAGCTCAGAGTGGCTGTGTGCATGCGTGCGTGTGCAGGTGCTGGCTGAGGGTGGTCTCTTTGTTCTGAGGGTCGTCCTGAACCTCCCTCTGCCCTATGCCTCTCCACTCCAAAGCTCTGTGCTGAGTTATTTTGTTGCTCGAAAGCCTGGTTTTCTCATCTGCCCAATAGAGGGGACACTAGACTGGCTTCAGGAATTGGGCACTTGGGAACAGAGGCCCTGGGCTGTGGCCTTGCCAGTGTCGCAGCTCCTCAGGCCAGCAGCACTGGGAGCTTGCTCCGGGAGGGTGCAGCTGCACAGGTCCGGCCTCCAGGGTCTGAGATGCCTGCAGGTGGGAGAAGTCTGGTCCTGCAGCTACCTTCTTTTCATCTCGGCTGGGCAGTTTCCGGGCAGTTTCCCTTCCTGCCTAGCCAGGTTCTGTGTTTCTGACCACCCAAAATTCTAAAAAAGATGCTCATCACATTTTTAATTAATTTGTATTGTATTAATTGCTGGGCAAATAAGTCTGTGGTGATTTATAAAAATCAATATTTATTCTCATGGTCAAGAGCATGTCCACTGAGACCAGTGCCCAGTGTGCAGATCATGGCTCTTCCATTTGCTCACTGTGTGCCCTTTGTCACTTCTCTAGGCCTTCATTTTCTCAGCTATAAAACAAGGCTGCTGATAATACATGGTCTTTAGGTATCACAAGATTAAACTGGCCAATCCATGCAAGGTGTTTAGCTTGGGGTAGCAGATTCTACCCTCAGTGCTCTGCTAGGCTTTGTACTTTCCCTTGTCTCTTTTCTCAGCGAGGCAGACAGATTGTTAGCCCATTTCACAGATGAGAACATCGAGACACGGAGAGTTAAGTAGGGGTTGCTTAAAGTTCTCATGGGGTAAGGACTACCCAAACTAGAACCGAGCACTTTGTTTCCTCATCCTGGCTGTGTGATCTCCATTCTGGGATGGGATGCCACATCTAAGAGCCACATCCCCGGGTACCTGTAGACAGATGGCGTTCACAGCTGTGTTGTTGTCTGTGCTTTGATTGATCAGCTGGCCACAGTGAGTTTTACTTTAGGAAAAGTACAGAAAGGAAGACACAGCCTCCATTTATCCTTTTCAAGCCCTCTGGGGGAAAAGGACCTACTGGATGGATGGAGTTAGCTTGATTCATTTTCTGTCTCATTTTTTGGATTCAGCTTTGATGGTGTGTCCTTTGTCCTCCCACAGCTGAACTGGACTGGAGCAAACACCGAACTCCGGAGTGCAGTGAGTTGTGTGGCAGACCTGCGGTTGCCTTTGGGGCTGACTCCTTCTGCAGCTCGGGGCCACCTGAGCCAAGGTCTTGAAAGGAAGAGCCAGGGGTGTGGCCCTGAGGGCCCCAGGAAGTTCACTCTCTGTGTTGTAAAACCCTGAAGGCCAAACCAAGAAAAATTTATTTCAGCATGTCAAGGTCAGGCCACCCAAGAGAGGCCAGAGCTGAACAGGGTCACAGCTCCCAGAGCTTTATCTCTGCTTCAGTTGCCACGGCGAAGCCCTCACCAGAAATGTCTGGACAGTCGTGGTGTTGCTGGGAGGCTGACTCAGCCATCAGAGCGAGTGGCGGGAGAGCGTGACACAGAGCTGTCCCTTGCTGCACACCAGCATAGACTCAACCCTGTGAAGGTTGTGCCTCCACCCTGAGCTCCTCTCACCTTCATGACAGGCACCTTCCAGATGAGGAAGCAGAGGCACGAATAACCCAGTGACTGCTCTAGCTGGTAGGTGGCAGGGCTGGGATACTTAGCCCAGATCGATCTGGCTCTGCAGTAAAGTCCAAGCAATTCACTGACAAAGAGAAACAGAAATGTGCAGCAGATGGGACCTTTTGTCACTCCCAGGAAGGAAGAAATAAACTGCAAGCTGTAAACTGCCAGGATACAGTCTAATCCCACCTGCAGCAATGTTTAGTTTGGCCTGAATAGAGTTGTTGTTTTTTTTCTTTTAATGTTTGAGTTAATGACCAACTTTTAAAAATAGAGACTTTTCACACAGAATGCAGATTTCTGCCTTCCCTTAGGAAACCAGAAGATCTGGGCAGGCCAGCTGGAGTGACGTATGACAGCCCCATCAGAAGGGACATGAGTCTTCCCGAGTGCCCCCACCCCTGTCAACCTGGAGTTCCTTCACTGGGAAGTTAGTGACCCCCAGACTGCAGAGGGAGGCTGGACCCCGCCCAGGGAAGTCCTTGGGCAGCTGTGAGTCTGTGTTGCCTTCCAGACCCTAATGGCCATATTTGTCTTCGAGGACAAGTGCCATGGAGTGGGCGGCTGAGACAGTAGGAAAGTGTCCACACAGTTCCAGAGCCGGGGAGTCCGAGTCTGACTGTCAGCAGTGCTGGTGCCTTCGGAGCACTGCCCCATGCTTGGCGGGCGGATGGTTGCCTCTCCTGAGTGTCACATGCTCATCTCTCTGAGTTGGGTCTGCGTCCTACTCTCTGCTCTTAAGCACACCGCTGAGATTGGACTAGGTCCACCCTGCTGACCTCATTTTATCTTAATTACTTTAAGATCTTTTCTCCAAACACAGTCACATCCAGAAGTACAGGGAATCGAAGACTTCAATACAAATTTGGAGGTGGGGAGATTAAGGCAGCCCATTGCAACCAGGTGTGCATTTCCATTTGGGAAGACTGGTATTTTAGGGTAAGGAGCAATGTTCGTGATCTTTATTAAGAAGAGCAGACAAAGCCTGGAGTGGGGGTGCATTCCTCTAATCCCAGCACTCTGGGAGGCTGAAGCAGGAGGGCCCAAGTTCAAGACTTACTTTGGCAACTGAGCAAAACCCTGTCTCAAAAGAAAAAATAAAAGGGCTGGAGAGGTGGCTCAGCCTCCCTGGCTTCAACCCCCAGTACCACCACCACCACAATCTCAAGAAAAAAAAGAAAAGAAAGCAAAAGCTGACAGTTGTGAGTATACGCGGAGGTGCTGGGAACAGACTCTCAGGCTCCAGCTGTCCCCAGGCGCCCCTGCGTGGCTTGCTCTAGCCTTAGCCCCCCCGACAGTGCTGGGGATGATCACCGCCATCAATTCCAGAGGCCCTCAGCCAGCAACACCTTGGCTTCTCGGCTGGGTCAGCCTGAATGGGCCTGTGTGTGAAGCATGTGAATACCCTGCGTATGTGGATGCTTTTGTGCCTGGCCTCAATGGCTGAAGGACCTGCCCTCCAAGAGTTAACTCATCCCTGGAGCTGGTGAGCACTGGCCCCAGGGGAGTGTGTACCTTCCCACAGCATCAGTTAGAGCCCCCAAACACCTTTCCTGAACTCTGATACATGGGGTTACTCCCCATCGCCCCAGGGCCAGGCATCAGCTACCAAGGACCGCTCCATGCTGAGCCCACTGAACCATTCCGGTAAACTTGCCTCAGCTGGTGCTTTTCATGGCCCTGGGTGGCATGCGCTGCCCATCCTTTTGGGAATTACGAGTCACAATTCACTTTTCAGTGTCACTCACCTCTAACAATAGCACCTGTGCCTCAAGACATTCCATCTCCCCCTGCAGGATGCCACTTTGGTCACTGCCAGTGCAGCAGGCAGGAGACAGCCTTCACTGGCTGGCTGCCCTTCGGCTGTCATTCCCGCTTTTCTGCCAGTGTTCCCTGCGCCTCCCAAACAAGCCAGCTAGATTCCCATCCTTGTCCCAGGGTGACTTCCAACCGAACAAAATTAAGTAAGCACAAAATTGAGTTTTTATTTTAAATACAGAGAGGAAATCAAAGTAGAGACAGGGGACTTAACGAGTGCAACTGAGATATTCTTACACTGGCAAATTCTATAAAGACACGTGACCACAGGGAACACATTACCAGGGCCCTTGGCAAGACTCCAGGCCCCAAGGCACAGTAAATCTGCCTCCATCTCCCTGGCCAGGGCACTGTCTCCGTGGGTGCCAGGCAGTGCCCAGAGTTGTGACTGATACATAGTAGGGGCCGCATTAATAATTATGCAATGTCGGGGGCTGGGGATTTAGCTCAGTGGCATAAGCACCTGCCTCGAAAGCAGGTGGTCGTGAGTTCGATCTCCGGGACTGATTAAAAAAAGATTATGCAATGCATAAATAGCTAACAGGCCAGGTGGGCAGAGCAAACCCTCAGGTCCTCACCTCCTCACTAGGTGGTGAGTGGGCGGGGACCCTTAGAGTTGGGTTTCCACTTTATACTCAGGCCTTCTCAAACAGACACAATGTTTTTCATTTAAATGAGTCTTCATTCTTGCAGGTGTGGGAGCCAGGACCTTGCTTTAGAACCCCTTGTAGTTCTCTAACGGTTTCACTCTCGGATGCCAATTCTATCTTATTTCTAAGCTTCTTGCTGGAGCAGGATGGTTTGATGGGATGTCATAGTGCCCACACAAGGAGAGAGATATTGTGTTAACCCATGATGTGGAGCTGCACAGACTAGTGAGAGGCTCTTCACTTCCTGCAGACTGATCTTGGGCCAACCTGCTTAGACTCCTTGAGCCTCAGTTTCCTCATCTGTGAAACAGGGATAATTACAGTAACCAAATTCCAGATTAATGGGAACAGTTAATGAGATAATGCATGCACACCCTCAGCACAATGTCTGATCCCTAGTTAGTGTTCAGTAAGTGGGAGCTGTTATGGCAAATGTAATAACATTCTCAAAGATTGCTAACCTTACAAGGCTAAGCTTTTCAGGGTACTCCACCGACCTGGGGGCAGGATGGAGTCAATTCTTAAACTAACATTTTACCGGTTTCTGGATACTTGTGAAACACAGACAAGGAATGCTTTAACATGAACAAGGCACCATAAACATTGCTTGGCTTCGGTAGGGTGGTTTCCTAGTGACTATCAGTGAGCCAGGTCCCTCGGCTTAAAGAAGGATCTTCCTGAAGGAAACAGTGTTCCTGTGGTCAGCCAAGCAAGATGGGTTGTGGACCTAGTGAAAACTGTTTACCTGGTGCAGCTTCTGGTGCCCAGGGTGGGGGTTTAATATAGTAGACAGACCGTAGGAGCAAAGCGTAAGTGTCCTTGGCAGGCTTGGCCTGAGGATATAGTCTGTCCAAAAGCAAGATTTACACAGAACTCAAAAGGACAAAGAAAAGAAAAGAGAAAGTGAAAGTGAGCGGGGTAAGCATGGAACAAAGAAGAAAAGAATGAAGGACAGTGGAAAGACAGTGCTAGGGAGTAAAACAGATTTAATTCAGCTGATCAACTTAATACTAGCTGAATTAAATCTGCACGGTGCTGAGTATAGGTGGCCCACCTGAGGAAAGCTGCCTGCATAAAGAGACATGGAGAGGAAGAGCAGGGCGTGGAGGGTTCTCCTAAGTGTTGTTGTTTGGAGCAATTGGCTTTCCTGGAAGAGCTTGTCATGCTAGCTTCTCAGATATGAATTCGGCCATTATCATCAGAGGAGCTCGGGCCTTTGTCACTGAGAATGGCTGCGGGATTCTTTGGGGAACTCTGGTCCATACTTTGAGCATCGCTTCCTGGTTCTGGAGAGGACGAATGTTTGCTGTTTAATCTCCAGGGGAAGCCTACTGCACTGGCTTCCTGACATGTACTCAACTGCTCTCATCATTGGAGGAGCTCAGAACCTCACTGTCACTGAGGATGGCTGTAAATCTTCAGGGGAGCCCTAGTCCTTATTTTGAGTGTCACTTCTTGGCTCCAGTGTAAAACCCTCAACCTACTGGCACAGCCCCTCACCCTGCTGGCACAGACTTCCTAGCTTCTGCTGCTGACTTTTGGGCCTTCCCAGCATAGATCTGTAAAACAGACTCACATGAGTCCTTGTCATGGGCTCTAGGCCTGCAGTTGGACTTGTGTGGGTCACTGTCATGGGCTCTAGGCATTCAACTGGACTCATGTAGGAAGTGCTGTGGAATCCAGGCCCTCAGATGAATTCTTTAGGGTTGTGGACAGATTTCCTGCACTTTCTTGTATTTAACTCTGGGTGACCATCAAAAAGTAACATCTGCTATTTAATCTTCCAAGGAGGCTCAATCAACCTCAGAATCCTCGGTCCAGGGTCCAGGTTATCATTTCTGACCCTCCAAGCAGACGTCTGAGTTGAAACCCCACCAGCTGCTGGAAGGTGGGGCAGAACCATAAGGCAGCTGGGCTGTTGCTGGAAGCCAGACTGTCCACCTGCTTGCTGTACTGCCTCCAGCAAAAGAGAATCTCAACTGAAATTTTTGAAATTCTAAGAGTGAACCAAGGGTGATGAAGTCATCATGTGAGCAGTGATTTTGAGAGCTCCAAATTAAACTAAATTCACATTTTTGTGCATGTATGTGAGTTCTTGTCAAGAGAAAAGAAATGAAGGAATTAAAATGTCTTGAAAAGATTCCTTTTTATAATTAAGCCTTCCTTGTCTGCTTTCTGTTCCCCGTGCTGACACATTACAGCAATAAACAGAGCCCGAACGGCAGCACTCTCGCCCGGTGTCAGCCTGGTGCGAAGGATGAGGAATCTGCACACAGAACTCCTTGCTGGGGTCAGCTGTTTCCGGGACCTGGGTGTCTCTTTGAACCTGCCCACCGCCCTGAGGAGCCACAGGGATTAACACACGCTTTTATTTCTGAACGGCATCTGCAGTTTCAGCGTCTCCACGGAGTGTGCTCGGGAGAGGAATTCGCTCTGCCCACCGAGCTAATCTGATCGTTGCAGTTGCTCACGTCTCCTTGAGCAAACTGGAGCTGCCCTGAGAGAAGCGAGGTCTTTAGCACACCGTATTAGGGAGCTCTTTCTGGAAACGTGTGGTTCCTTTAAGCCTGGGTGAAGACAAGGGCTGACCTTCACACACCCGGGCTGTATGTGGGGACCAGGAAGACACAGTCACAGCCAAAAACTCGCCAGCAGGACAAGTTCACAAACCCAGAAGGAGAGAAAAACAGCGGCTTCAGGTCCTGCCTCTGACTCTCAGTAGCCAGCTGATCTTGGGCAGGCCTCAGTTTCTTCATCCGTAAAATGGGAGAAATGGGTGCCTCCTAGGTTTCCTCCCCTTTTCCTTCCACTGCATTCTCTCTCCCTCTGTTCCTTCTCCTTTCTTCTCTGTCAGAAATACGTAAAACAAGGTGTGTTAATAATGCGGGAGATGAGTTTAGAGCTATGACTGAGGGCCGTGGAAATCAAACTAAATCAGTCTAGAGAAGATGATGCCAGCCCTGTGACACCCTCCTGGAGAAGTCTTTGTGTCCCCCCTCCTGTGTGTGGTCCAGCTGTCTGACAGCTGTGAAATGATGCCAAGTCTTTGTGGCCAGGCCTGCGGCGGCCTCCACTTGCCCTGTCCTGGAACTCCCTCTGGGCCCTGAGCTGCCACATAAAAGTCTAATTACACTAAGCCTCCTGCACTGGGGAGGCCATACCCGGGCACCGTGGGAGCCACTCACCATCCCTGCCAGGGCACCTGTCATGTGAGAGAAGACACCTTGAACCCTCCAGGGAGCCCCTCTGTCAGCTGAACACCACAGAATGATCAAAGGTGGAGCCGGTCCTCACCTCGAGGGATGCCATTTGAAGCCATTGCATTCTGGGATAATTTGTGGCACAGCCAGGGTCACCAGGGTTCAAGTTCTTGCTAATCAGATTCCTTTGAGGTGGGGGATTTAGCTCAGCAGGCATAAGTGCCTGTCTTATAAGTGACAAGCATCAGGTCATGAGTTTGATCCCGGGTACCAAAACACAAAACAAAAACAGCTTCCTGCAGCTTCACTCTCCTGCCTCCTTAAATGTTAGTGTAGATTCCTGTGATCCGGGGCTCAGAGCAGGGCCCTCGAAGACGCATCACTGATGTTTTCCCGCTCTGGTCTCTGCTGGTCGTGTAGAGGGGGCAAAGCAAGGGCCTGCAGCCTGTGTACACTGGAGTGAGCAACTCCCTTCTTATCCCAGCGAATCGAATTATCTTAATCATACTTAATCCTGTTCTCACGAGGGTATTTTAAGTCGGAATGGTAATTTATTTGATTTCCTCTGAAAGTGTTGCCCTGGTGAACCCGTGCAGCTGGCTAAGGAATGGAAAGACAGACCTCTTCCCTGTCTTTTTCCTCAGTACATGTCTGTGGTGCATGAGGTTGACATTCGCCTTAGGAAATAGGTCCAGGTATAAAATACATCTGGACTCTTTTTTGTGTTTCGAGTCACAGCATGTGGATTAGGTTACTGACACAGTTCCCTCATCTTCCTCTCCTCTTTTGCTTTGTGGAAGTCCTCTTTCACCCTGCTGTGGGGTCAGCCATGCCTGCACGGAGGGGAACTTTCACTGCCAATCTGCTGCCCCAGGGTAGAGCTTGTAGAATATGTGCCTTGGCCAGCAGGCTGGGACCCAAATTTGTGCCTGTTTCCCATAGGGTGTGGCTCTCCAGTCCACTCCTGGCTCACAACAGCTTCTTTTTACTACTTCTGTAAATCTTAGTGACCAAAGATGTTCCATCAGGCTGTTTGGCTGTGTGTTTTTACAAGAGCAGCTGGGACCCAGGATCTGGGGCAGAGAATGAAGCAACAAACTTTGAGTTGCTAATTAAGTAATCCAGCAAATATCCCTTGAGAACCCACCAAGTGCTAGGCACCAGGCTAAGCACTGAGCCAAAAATATTTGAGTCTGATGCCCAGATCATCAACCTAAAAGCTATCTAGCATCTACTCAGCTGACTGGCTAAAACAACACAAATATACAATCCCGAGGCTTTAGGACATAATAACGCAGTGGGAACTTTTTTGTGCTGCTGGTGGGTGTATAAATTGGTTCAGCCACTTTAGAAAACAGAGTCATCTACAGCTGCACATTTCTTTCCTAAGTGCACCAGAAGAAATGCCCAAAAATGTTTAAAGCTGTGCCATTTTCAAGACCCAGTAACGGGCGCTTAACCAAATGTTCATCAGCTACAGAGTATACATCATGCTGTGCAACACTGTTAGAATGAGAATGAATCAGCCAATGCCCCATGCAACAGGACGGGCGAGTGTTGCAGGAAGGTTGTAACGGGATGAGGGAATTAGCATTGTGCTATAGCCTGGCTATGGTTGAGTGTGTCCACAACAAAAGTTCATATGCTGGAAGTCTGGTCCCCATGGTAGCAATACTATCAGGTAACGGAACCTTCACGACGTGGGGCCTCATGAAAGGTGGTTAGGTCTTTGGAATGCTGTCTTGAAAGGGAATGAAATAGATCTTGCAGGACCACAGTGTTATTGGCTTAGCTTCTAAATGTCTGCAAAAGTTCCATATGTGAAAGGCTCAGGCAGCACAGTGAGGCGGGGTGGAGCCTTTGGGAGGACTGGCCTGCTGGAAGGAAGTTAGGTCATGGGGTGGAGCCCCACTTTTCTCTCTCCAGGTACCCTAAAGTGCACAGACTCCTCTGCCTTGTGCTCGCCTCTGTGCTATGCTGCTTCACCACAGCCCCAAAAGCAAAAGGGCCAGGTGACCAAAAACTGAAACCTCTGAAACTGTCACAGTTTCTTCCTTTTTAACTTGACACTGCAGACAGTTTGTTAATAACGACACTAAACTGATGGCACACCCAGTTATTTCCCTTTTCTGTGCTGTTGTAGATGGAGCAGGGCCGGCCCTTGGGTCCCTCTGCCTTTCTGTCTCACTGTGTGATCTTGGCTCTGTCTCTTGCCATTGTGGTGTCATTGCCAGGAGGCTTGCACCAGACCCTGAGCACAGAGGCTGCTTGATCTCGGGCTGAATAGTAAACTCTTTTCTGTCCACATTGCTTAGCCTCAAGTATTTTGTTATAACAACAGCACACACTGAGATGTGCTTTATGATTTCATTGATGTGAATTTTTAAATGGGCAACCCCTGTGGGTGGGTGTAAGTCAGGAGGTGACACCCTGGGGAGTTAGTGAGTAGGAGGATAGCAGTGGTGATGGCCGGATGTCCACTTTTCTGGCTGAGATGCTGCTTACATGACGTGTTCCCTTGGTAGAATCCAGCCCACGGTTTACTTATATAGTAAATGTTTTTTTTTTTTTTTTTTTTGGTCTTTTTGAGACAGGGTCTTGCTATGCAGTTCAGGCTGGCCTTGAGCTCACTTTGTAGCTCAGGCTGGTCTCGAACTCGCAACGATCCTCCCACCTCGGCCTCCCGAGTGCTGGGATTACAGGCGTGAGCCACCACACCTGGCTAGTAAATGTATTTTACTGGTATACTTTAATAAAAGATTACAAAAATGTAATCCAAACTCCATCAGATTGTTTTGGCTTTTAATGCTTAGTTCCTCATCTACAAAATAAGAATAATATTTCCTTGGTGTTAAGAATTATATGAGATTTAATTATCATAAATATGTTCATTACCTAAAACACACTGAAGGCTTCATAAATGGCTGCTGTCATTGTTACTGTTTTTGTGATGGATATTTGTTTTTCTTAGACTTATGTTACTACAAGTGCCTACTCTGGGAAAAATGTCTTTATTCCTCATATGAGAAAGTACAAAACAGCCCTAAAAAAGGCCTTTCTATGGGTTGAAATTATTTTTCTGGTATGTTTCAAGTCACGGTGGAAAATGAAAATATCTCTCACTTTTGGCAATGCAACTTTTCTTCTGTGATCCTCAAATCCCTTCTGCTAAACGCCCTCTGAGGCCGAAGCTTTGGGGAGAGAATGTCTCACTGCCTGGAACAAATGTTGTCTTCCTTTCTCCACACATTTAGGGAACGTGACTGAGAATGGATTTCTCAATTCTTCAGGAGCCTGAGACATGTGATAGTGTCTACCTCTCAGCCAGGATTTCCCCTAGCTTTTCAGGAGGTCATGTATTGTGAAAGAGTCTAGCAGTTGCCGCCCTGCCCTGCTGAGGCCTGCTTGCGACCCTAGGCCTCTGGAGAACTTTGCCGTGCCTCCCGGCTGGGAGCAGGACCAAAGCCTTTACACTCTGGATATTACATTACATCAACTTAGAAAGTGTAATCCTGGACTTAGCCACTGGCGGCTGAAAACCAGACACAGCTGCTCACATCTGGGAGAGGAGAGAGACCTTGGAGAAGTGTCCCAGATTGCTGGGAAACCCTAGAAACATCTGTGGGACCCCAGTCACTCTGGGAAGGGACGGTGCTGGGTGGTGCTAGGTGGTGAGACAGTTTCTCTGCAGACACCCAGACTGGAGACGCTGAAATATCCTGTTGATAACCCTGGGCAGACGTGTCTCTAAAGTTCAGGCAGGTCTCCTATGATGTAGCCAGGAGACACAGGGTGCTTATCTGCCCTGTGGGACATCATGTCGCTCTTCCCCAGAGGGGCAATGAGTCAGGCTCCCCTTTCCTGTGTGTCCTGCAACACTTGCCAAGTGGCCCCAGTCTCTTATTTCATCAGAGAGGAGAACCAGGAAACCCACACAGCCACTTATTTTGTGGTGAGGAAGAGCAAATGGCATTCGTAGAGTTTGTGGGTGGATGAAATGTCCAGAGGGCAATTGCATACTATGAATTAAAAATCTTTAAGGAATGTAGCCCTTCTGATCTTAGGCACTGGTCCTAAAGAGTTCTGACTAGGGCACAAATTTATGTATGATTCTTTAGCAGCTAACTGAAATATTTGGTGAGTGCCTTGTAAGTAGTGAAGACTTAATATATATTTGGCACCCTGCTAAGATGTGATTGAGGCTGCTCTGAGCAAGCCCATGAGATACTACCTGCGCTATGCCCATTTTACAGAGGAGGAAATAAGGTCTTCAGGCTAATTAGCTGCCAAAGTCTCGGAGCCCTTTGGAAGTAGAGCTGGGTTTGTGTGCGGCCTCTAAGCAGAGGGATTGAAGTCCTGGCCTTCCTGTCCTGTTTCATTGTCCAGGCGCTGTGCCAGGCAGGAGTCAGGCAGGCGCAGCCTGCTTTGTCTGAGCTTTCCGAATTCAAGGGAGGACGACTCTAAGCAGAATCTACACATGTTCAGTGTCACCGAGAGAATGGTGCAGAGCACCACAGGAGCACATCCCTTGGAGCTTCCCAGAACCATCCATTAGCAGCCCGGCAAGACAGGAAATAACCTAAATGCCTGGCCATTAGGGTTTGGGTAGATAAATGACATTATGTCCGCTCGTTGGAATAGGGAGCAGAATTAAAATAAATGTCATAGGGCCATGTGTATTGACATGAAAATATGTTCTTGTCACATTATTAAAGGAACAGAGTGATTATAATAAAAGAAAATCCTGTTTTTGTGTTTGAGTGCTTGTGTGTGTGTGTATTTGTGAGAACAATACACTACCAGTTTTTTCCCTCAGGTTTAGAATTATTTATAAGTTGGTGTTTTTTCTCACAATCCATCTGACCTTCTTGATGGGGGTAATTAGCATTTCCATGTCTAATTTGAATAACAACTTATTTCCACTTGAGGAAAAAATCACTGTTGCCTTTTCAGACACACATATAGCTTGAGAGATGCAAAAGCACCTCACTCCTGTGTTAGTATTTTGTTGCTGTGACCAAATACCTGAGAATAACAAGTTAAAAGGGGAAAGGTTTGCTTTGGCTCTTAGTTTTAGAGGTTCTGCCCATGGTCAGCTGGCCCTGCAGGTGGAAGAGGAAACCTGCTCACCTAATGGCAACCAGGAAGCGGACAGAGATAGGAAGAATCAGAGAGGAGGAAAGGATTAGGGACCTGATAGAGTCCCCAAGGTCATTCTCCAGGGTGCCCTTCCTCCAGGGAGGCCCTTTCTGGTAAGTGTCCATCACCTCCCAAGAATGCCTTCGTGTTAGGAACCCAAAGATGGATTCATTCTCTCTTGAAGTTAGAGTTCTCGTGGTCCAATCACCTGCCAAAAGCCTCATCTCTAACACTGCTTGAGCTGGGGACCGGTGTGTACCAGTTTGTGTAGTGAGCACTGTAACATTGCTTGACTGTTTTTAGAGATAGGAGTCACCTCAAGCTAACGAAGGCTGCTCTGCACGGCTGAGGCACCCAGTCCTCAAAGTGTAATCCGTGTTTCTCCTATGTGGAGACACCCTGGGCTGCCTGCTCCACCCTAGTACTATAATAACTCACACTGCTGAAGCATTTAAATGCAGCTCCCATCCTAGGGCTTACACTTCTAATCTGTGTGAACCTCACAGCTCTCGACTGGGTACCTAATATATATAAGGAAGCAGAGACACAGAGAGGCTACCCAGTGTGCTCCAGTTCCAGGGCTGCTGACTGATGGAGGGGCGCCCAGTCCCAGTGCTGAGCTCCAAGACAGTGCTTGCCATCACTACCCTCAATGTAGGGCCCTGGGAGTCTGATTTTTTTTTTTTTTTTTTTTTTTTTAGCACTGGAGATTGAATACTGAGCTACATCTTCAGTTCTTTTATTTTTTATTTTGAGACAGGATCTTGCTAAGTCACTAAGTTGTGTAGGCTGAGCTCAAAGTTGTGATCCTACTGTCTCAGCCTGCCAGAGTACGGGGATTATAGCCATGAGCCACTGTGTCTGGCTAACAGTTTGGATTTTTAACACACTCCCCAGGCGACCCACGGGCATGCTGAAGTGAGGTACCACTACTCTAAAGCATCTTTTATCTTAGCACCAGTTCCTTTAAGATTATTTTGTATTAAGAAATAGCTGACACAGAGCGAATGGATCCACTATGGAAAGACTGTCTTTGAAGCCATTGGAACAAAGATGTATCTACAGTTCTCAACTACAGGTAATTTGTCAAATCTTAAAAAATGGACAGCTTGACAACCCATTTGCCCAACCTCTCTCTCTTACTTGGAAACCATCTTTTAAAAAAATTCTTATTCAGAATATTTATTTCTAAAATAGTAAGAGAGGCTGAGGCAGGAAGATTGCTGTGAGTTTGAGACCAGCCTGGACTACATAGTGAGTTCAGGTTCAGCCTAAGCTACATAATGAGACCCTGCCTCAAAAAAAAAAAAAAAAAAAAAAAAATGAAAACTTAAAATAAAATAAAATATTAAGAAGTTGTCCTGGTCTATCTGAAGTGGGGACTCAGAAAAACATGTATGTACAGTGCCCCAAATCTTTTTCCTTTTTTATCAGGGATCGAACTCATGACTGCCTGCTTGCAAGGCGGGTGCTTATGCTGCTGGGCTAAATCCCCAGCCCCACAGTGTCCCAAATCTCCCAAAGTCCCACTCCTTCTCTTGGGAACTCTTAGTTAACCTTGGGCATAGTCAGAAAGCTGAGGGTTGAGAAGATTAAGATCAGCCACGGCCCCCAGCCTGTTGGTTATAGCATCTAAATGAAAGAAATGTGGTCATCAGACTCAAAATGGAGTTGCTCATGCCAATCCTAACAAAAAGAAAGAAAGAAAGAAGTCAGCAGTTAAGAAGGATGAGTCCTTAGGCAGGACTGCCTGATAGCGGTGCACAAAACCTCTGCCAAGATCACCAGCTTTTGCAGAGACGGCATAAGCTCATAGTAAAAGTACCTGTGGGAGGACATCTGCGCCTTTGCCTGTCCAGCGTCAGGCTGACACCACTGTCATCAGTCCTGTGACTCCAGGATTAGTGTTTCAGGTTAACTGGGGGAATCTCCCTATCTTCACCTTTGACCACAGGCTTTCATCCATTTCCTTGACTATGCCCACCCCGTACGGGGTGTGTGTGTGTGTGTGTGTGTGTCCCTTGCTGTGCTATTCGTTGCAGTGTTACTCTCATGTGTGTCAGTGCATCTTGGTTCCTGTAACACACACCCAAAAAAAGCAGCTTATGAAGAAGAGGGATGTTTTATTTTGACTCACAGTGTGGGAGGCCCCATTGCTTTGGGGCCCATGACAACGTAGCACATCCCAGTGTGGGGCACATGGTAAGCTCCTCACCTCAGGGAAGGACCAGGCTGCCCACACCCCCTTCAGAGGCACATCCTCACAACACAGGAAGAAATCCAACTCAGCCCGCCTCTTAAAGCTTCTACCACCTCTCCGAGCACCACAGGCTGGAGACCAAGCTTTAATATAGGGCCTTTTAAGGAATATTCTGGTCCCAAATGACAGCGCCAAATGAATAACGTAATTCTTTGGAGAACTGCCCTTTATTTGGGTTGGTAAGGATCAGAAACTCCTGTCCAGCTTTTAATTTTAAAGACTATCACTGCCGTGTTGGGAGCTTATCCTGATGTCATCTGGATAGGTGCCTGATGATTGACAGAGTTAGTCTTAGCAATCACCTTGCAAGTTGTCCTGTCCTGGTGGCACAATTCCGGGGCCCTTCAGTGATCTTGTGGGCCATAGCATTGGGTGAAGGAGGCACTACTACATATATTATAAGGTGCCTGTGGTTTCTAGTAAGAAGTTCCAGGGCCACTGAAGCATTTAGATTTTGGAGTCAAGGTGAAGCTTTAAATAAGTTTTGATTCCACCAAAACTTGTGTGCAGGCTTACTATCTGTGCAGCAGTGTTGGGAGGTGGGAGTCTTGTGGAGGGGTTTGGGTAATGGGGGTGGAGCCCTAATGAATGGATCAGTGCCTTTCTCTATGGAAGGGGTTAACTGCTGCAAAAACTGTGGTCCCCTTTCCTGTCCACACACACCTTTGCTTTCCCACCTTGTGTGGGGCAACATGACGCCATCACCAGAAGCCAAGCAAAGGCAGGTGCCATGCTCCTGGGCTCCCAGAACTGTGAGCTGAATAAATCTCTTTCTTTACTCAATTACCCAGAACAGGTATCCTTCTGCAGCACAGAAAACCAGCTAACCTACATCTTAAAGGAGCAGATCAGTCAGCCCCAAATAAGGGAAGTGACAGCCTTGAGGCACAGTGGCCCTTGTCATTAGCCCTGTGCTAATCATGCCATTCCTTAGTGTCTGCCACGGAAGCTGTTGTGGTAGATGCCAGATCTTGGTGATGGTGATATGGTTGGCAGGGGGAGTCAGATTCAGCCCTTCTGCTTGGGGCCAGGGCTGGGGCTGGGGCTGGGGAATACGGTGAAGGAGTGAACGTGTGTGACGATGAGTCACCATCTGCACACTCACTGAGAACACCTTGACGCTCTCCAAGCCCTTGAAGATGGGAAAGGCGCAGTTCATAGTAGGAAACTGAGGCTTAGAGACTTGTTTGAGACCACAGAGCTGGCAGGAGCTGGTGGCACCAGGACCTCTGAAGCCAGGCTGTTCCTCCCTCCTGCACCAAGCCAGGAGAGCAGTGCTTTCTGAGGAGGTGAGAGGTGCTCTTCGCCTGCAGGGTCTCCATGCCAGTTCCTCTCAGCTCGGTGATGACCTGAGATCCCATCTGACTCCTCCAGTTTACACAGGCAGTGAGGGGATTAAATTACACTTCTGAATGCAAGAAGTCACAGTCTCTGGAACTAAAGTCTTCTGGAGTGGTGGGGACGGGGCTGATCCATGTTGCAGCTTGTGAACAAATTCAGTGAAGGAAAGATGGAGGGAAGAGAGGGCTGAGGGAGAGGGTGAAAGCTTGTAGGACAGTTGCACAGGTCTGAAACACAGCCACATCTCCAGGGAACCCTAGGCGCCCCCCTGCTGTCTGCAAGATCAAGGGTCACAGGGTGGTCTGGAGGTGGACAGCACAGCCACTTTTCAAACTGTGCTTGAACCACTTGCCCCAGGGAGCCTTTGTGGACCTAACACACAGGGCTGGCCCTTTGCTCACACGGTCTGTGAGTTCCCTATACTTGACCCTCGTAGCTCAGATTACACTTATACATCTTTATTGGGTACCTGTGTTTCCTGTTTGACTGTGAATTTCGTGAGGCCAGGTCTGCCTGCTTTTTCCTTGAGTCAGGAACCATTTTCCTTCTTGCATTTTCTTTATTCTTTGGTACTTCCTGGTACCAAGATGGCAGTGTTAACTCTTGTCTCAGGAAGGAGTAAGACCTTCTTGATGACTAAAGCAAAATTTTTAGGAGCAGCTCTCAGTGGTTTAGCTTGAGTAATGTGCCCATCCGGAGCCAATCACCATGACCCAGAGAGTATGGTGCCCTGATTGGGATTATCATAGACATGGTTCACTGTCTACCCAAAAGCCACATCCCCATTCTTCCTTACTAACATAGAGTCCATTAGATGTCAAGTGGGTGGGCAAGATGCTCAGGGCAGGGGACATATCCACAGTCTAGAAAACCATTCATGGCAATCCTGTTCTCTGTAAGTGGTGACTGATTTAAAAGCATGCATTGACCCACTTCTGATAGATAGGACATCTGAAAAGTCTCCTGCAGGCTTCCCCGGCAAGTCAGATCTGTAGGGTGAGGGCTAGCTCCCTCCTCATT